TTCCTTCCTTCCTTCCTTCCTTCCTTCCTTCCTTCCTTCCCCCTACCTCCCCCATCTATTTGCTTTCTTTGTTTCTCTCTTTCCTTCTCTTTTCCTCTTTCTTTCCACCTCTTTCTCTTTCTCTCTTAGACAAATATCATTAGCAAACAAATAAAGATATTGGAAAAATAAATATAATCAATATCTGTTTTTACCCCTTTTGTTTTTATTTTTTGCAGCCTCAATTAATGTTAATAAAAAGCAAATTTGTATATTTTTAATAAAAATGTGTGTAATATTTGTTCATGACTTGTGGCTCTCAAACATCTGACGTTTATTCTGTGTGGCTCTTACGTTAGGCAAGTTTGGCCCCCCCCCCCTATAACACAAATACATAAACATGTGCAGGAGTCTTTCTTCCAGAACTAGGCGCATGCACAAATATTTGTTCTTTTCATCTTACTGCTTTAAAAAGATGAACTTGGTTTCATATTTGATTCTTTAGTCTTATTTTTAATGGTTCACGTCTGGTGTATAGAACCCAAGTCACAAACTGTCATCCCAAGAAGAGTTATACCCTTCTAAGTCCATTGGCTCAAAAGTAAATGTAGGCTTGTCCGTGAACCCTGTGAAAGAAGTGAACTCAAGAGCTTAAGGCAACGCTATTTGTCACAGTGACTTCCCCCTTCCCCGGCTGTCCTGATATCTGAATAATTTGTGAGAACTGAACTTTGAACTTCATATTTGGATAAGTTTGTGAAGTGGCATGTATCATCATTTTCCTGACTATGTGTTTTCAGGGTTATTTAGAGGTTTTTGAAAGTAAAACCCATCTAATCCAGTGATTCTTGGTTCATAAATCATAGTTCGTAATTTATCTAAAGAGGTGAGCTCTCCATCTCAAAAGTACGATGGAATAAATTGAATTAGACTTTAAGGTACTGGGCTACTGTCTTATTTTGGGTTAATAATATAAATAATTCCTTAGTATTGGTGACTCTTGTGAGCCTTTAATGTACATTTTCCATGGTGCTGTGTTTTTCCTTTTTGTTAGTGAAATTAGCTGTATGCTAATTGGGGCCATAAACTCCTCATGAGCATCATCTTTTCAGCTGTTACTGTGCCATGTAAAGTTAAAGTGCTGACTGTGCATGAAAGATACTATGAATGTTTGGGAATTTCATGTAACTAGTTAAACTGTTCTAAAATTAACAATGCAAATATTTCAAGAAAATAGCTCAACCATGTTTAGTTCTGCTTTCCAAATTTGCTGCAGAGAAAAGTTTAAGTTAAAAAAAACCCCTGTGTAGTTCTATTTATCATGCTGTACAAGGATACTAAAATAATACCTGGGTTTAGACTGTACCACTTGAAACTAATGATGGGCCTCCTGAGAGAGCTCTCCCTCAACTTTTGTTTGAAGTGGTACAGTCTAGACATATGCTTGCCACCTGATTTGTTTGTGAGAACTAGGCAGTTTCACTTAATGTATTGGCAGTCTTTTCCAAAGTCATGTGTGTATATTACCCCCTTGCTGTAAGCCTCTCCTGAATGACCAGTTGGCAGCAAGTAAGCAGCTGCCCATAGCTGTGTAAAGGTTTCAGGTCCCTTATTTCTTGTAGCCTGGTTATGCATTAGTAAAATCTGTGTACCTAGAAAGTATACATTTTCCAATTGCAGTTCTAAAAAGATGGGGTAGAGGCTGAAATCATGAGTATTAAAATTGTGTCTTCATTTCCAAGAAAATGCATTGGGTCCAAAGGACCTCAAGTGGAATTCTGCTCACGGGACAGATATTTCCTGTCATCTCCTTCCAGCTGTAGCCTTCTGTGTTCCCTAGAAAGTGGCTGCTGGGGTTAGGGAACTCTCCAGAGCAGCATGGGGTAATGTGGAGTCTGCAGTGGGAAGGCAGAATTGACAAAAATAGTCTCCTCTTGAATTGAGCAATAGTACTATTCTTGACAAGGGTTTTCTTTTGCATTTTAAATTGTAACCTTTTTTGTTTTCTTACTTGTAACCTCTGATCCAGCATAGTATAGGATAGAGTTGACAATTGACTTAAAGAACATTTAATCAGCTATGTGCCTATATCTCACTTGTTAATTAGCCAATATCATTTAGGAGGTGTATTATCAAAATCTTAAGTATAGATACCCTTTTGAGGTATTGAAGGATATAGATTATATTTTATTAAAATATAAAATTCATTGTTGAAAGACCAGTTCCATTTCCTATTGCAATAACAAAGCAGAACCAAAATAGCCTCAAAATATGCTTTAGTAGATCAATTCAGTAATTAAAGCCTATAGTCCTATAAAATAGTAGCATTCTAAGTTAATAAATATTATGAAACTGTGTAATCAGAACAGTCATCCAAATTAGTTGGTTATTCTTTGACTTGTCTTTTTAACCAGCAGATGGTGCTGGAAAACAGCTTGAAAAAAGATACTGAGGTCCGTTAGTAATTAGATAATCAATTAACATTAATATCTCTAGTACAGTAAAGGAAGGAATTCACAGACTGGAAAGGACAGTCTCACATGGGAGTAGGTTCAAATGAAATTTTAAAATGTTGCTTCTAAATAATTGCATAAGAATTGAGATGCATGACGAATACAATTTTTTTAAAACTAAGCATGCATTCTCCACGTAATTGTTCCCTTCAGTTCTAGATTTCAATGATCCCTTCAGTACTGAAGTCAAACCAAGAATCCTGCTTATGGGACTGAGGAGGAGTGGAAAATCTTCCATTCAGAAAGTTGTGTTTCATAAGATGTCACCAAATGAAACTCTTTTCCTGGAGAGCACTAACAAGATCTGCAGAGAGGATGTTTCCAACAGCTCCTTCGTAAACTTTCAAATATGGGACTTTCCTGGTCAAATTGACTTTTTTGATCCGACCTTTGACTATGAGATGATATTCCGAGGCACTGGAGCACTGATATTTGTTATTGATTCTCAGGTAAGGGAAAAGGTTAGGATGACTGGGGTAATCCCCCCCTTCCTTCCCCAGTAATCTTCTACATAAGCACAGTGTCTGCACAGTAAATGAAAAGGAGACCTTTATTCAATATCATTTACCCTCTCTTTCCATAGTGTACTTTCATCTATGTTGTTTAATGTAAATATGAATCTGTACAAGCTTTTTTTGTTCCACTCATGTAGACAGAGTCACAATAATATCCTTCTGGAAACTATATAGTTGAATACTTTTACAATAAAACAGTAATTATAGGAATAAAACAATAAAAATAGAAAGTTTATAGTGCTGAAAGTTTCTTTTAATAGTTTCAAGATTGATAATTTCAGTAAATTATTACGTTCATCACATAAGAACTGGAAGGAACTTGTCATCTTTGGGAATGGCAGTGACCCTTGGCAAGCAATCCCTAGGAGCATTAGGGGGACAGAGACATGAGTCATCACTTCCTGTTCTGAAACAGGAAGTGACATCCTAGTGTTGATTGATACCATTCCCTCCCTCCAATTCTTGCCACTCCATTGAGCGATGACAATGAAGAGGGAGCATTGGGAGGAAGTGCTTTGCCAGAACCGGGTAAGTAGCAACCGTAATGACAGAACATCTGTTTTGCATGCACAAGGCCCCTGGTTCAATCCCAGGCATCTCTACTTAAAAGGGTCAGGTAGCAAGTGATGTGACAGACCTCTGTCTGAGGCCCCGAGATCCCCTACCTGTTCTAGAAAGCAATACTGACCTTGACGAACCAGTGGTCTGATTCAGTATGAGGCAGTTTTGTGTGCTTGTGTATGGCAGTTGAACCCAATGATTTAAGCAGGAAAGTGAGAAAATGTAAGGACATTATTGGGAAGCTGCCATCTTTTCACTCACTGTCAACTTTTTAATATGTAGATGATGATTCAGAATTGCCAGTCGAGAGTGGTGAGCTTACTACAATGGTAGTAAAGTTCTAGGTAAGAAGCCTGATTTCAAACTTAGCTGCATAATCAGCAGACTCATGTGGGGCAGCTCTTGCTGGGATGTGCCATTTAACATGGCAGGTATGGATCAGTAGGGGAAATACAGCTAGAATCCTTGTCCATTTTTTGTGTGCAAGAAGTTGTGAGAGGGAGCAATTCTTTATCTGAAGTGTTATAGTTTGGCAAGAGCTGTGCAACACGGTTATGGTAACTGTATAGTTCCATCCCATGACTGGTAAGTTGTCGAAAACAGCCGTCATAGAATGCCAATCAATTGAAAGCTATCATAAACACAGCATTTCTTAATAGCATGCTCTGCTGAAAAATGATGAACGATAGCAGAAGAGATCTGTAGGATCAAACCTTATACTGCTGCAGTTTTAATCCAGTGCAGGGAGACCTTTGCTGGTACCAAAAGCTGTTCTCCCATGACAAGTCTTTTTGTAGGGGAGGAAAGCTTTGCCAGTAGCAGAGTAGTTCTGTAGGAACTTACCCGTATGCTGAAGCATGGACGTTTATAAAAGGGTAGTTTATAGTGATAGCATAAAAGTGTGAAAATTTATAATATTTTAATTCCTTGTTAGTTTATAAAACCAAAGGTTTATCTGATGCATTTCTGTTTGTAGGATGACTATATGGAAGCATTGGCTAGACTGCATCTGACTGTGACGAGAGCATATAAAGTCAATCCAGACATAAACTTTGAAATATTTATCCATAAAGTAGATGGTTTATCTGATGATCACAAGATTGAAACACAAAGAGACATTCACCAGAGGACAAATGATGATCTTGCAGATGCTGGACTGGAAAAAATCCACTTGAGGTGAGCAGATAGAAGCAATTTATACAGCCTATGAAATAAAGTTACAAGAACCATATATATTGCACAGCATTAAAGCCAGTAATCATGCCAAGTTCATGTAACTTCTTAGCAAATAACAGTTGATAGCAGTGATGCACATTGGAAAAATAATTAGGGTTGCCAAGTCTTACCGAAGTAATAGCGGGGGGCCCTCTCCAGGAGTCCTCGTGCACGTGCTGGGCGACACTGTGGTAATCGCCCTAAAAACTCTATGGTACCAAACTCTATAGTACCATAGAGTTTTCAGGGCGATCGCTAGAGCATCGCCTGGCGACGTGCCCAGCGTGATGATGTCACTTCTGGGTGATGTAATCGTGCCGGGCATGTCGGCCTGATCTGGCCACTTTGGGGGTGGGGTTCCCCCTGCTGGCTGGATCCAAACCGGTGGATTGGGGGCCCTTTTAGCAGGGGAATCCCTGCCCCCCAGGGGGACTTGGCAGCCCTAAAAATAATGATCAGGTAACTAGAAAACATGACCCTGTTTTGCTCAAGGTTATTTTCCAAAATGGCTTTTATTTTGGTATTTTCTGTGCCAGCATAAGGAGTCTTAAGATATTTAGTTCTATGCACTAATCATATTACTAGAGGCCTTGAAAATGCTTTTGTCTTATTCATATCAGTCCTCTTAACATACATGGTTTAGGAAGAACCTTGAGTATAATTTATGTTATTTATTGCAGAGATATGCCTCTTCAGGGAATGTTACAGTCTAGAATGAACAAAAGTCCTGGTGCTGGTAACCCCCAATATTAAAAATGCAGTTGATGGAAATCAAGAAATAGGGGTTAGCAACTGGGAAGGGATTTTTTTTTTAGAGAATTACTTAAAACCTTATATTCAGTTTGTATTTGGCTTCTTGGTATTGTTAAGAAAAACTTAACAAAGCATAAACAAAGTACAAAGTATTTCTGTCATTTTATCTCTATACTAGGTTTTTAAAAGGAGTTTCTGTACCTATTCATTACAAATTAATTAACAATGCTGTTTCCTTTCCCAGCTTTTATTTAACAAGTATATACGACCATTCTATATTTGAAGCATTTAGCAAAGTGGTACAGAAACTGATCCCCCAGCTTCCAACATTGGAGAATCTGCTTAACATCTTTATTTCGGTAAATATTTTTTCATATGCATGTAAAAGGTGCAAAAACAATGGCTTTTGTTTTTACCTTTATTTTTCAAAAACCTTGCAATTGTTGGGGCCAGTGCTCCCTCTAAGCTGTGGAGTCTTGTGAGCAAAAAGTCTCCTTTGTGAGCTACTGGCATTAAAATTGTAAGCGAGCAATTTGGCTGCTGCATGAATTAGTTTGATCTGGAGCCATCCTTCCTGAGCTATGACAAAAATGTGTGAGCCAGAGGCTAAAAACCTGAGCTAGCTCACACTAACTCAGCTTAGAGGGAACACTGGTTGGGGCTACTCTAGTGGATCGAGAATGAATGCTAAGAAAATCTGTAACAGTCATGTGGATTTAGATCTTGGATTCATTGGAGGATTTCCACAGATGGAAGGGGACGCCTGGTTTTCACCAATCTCTCCCCCCCCCCCAATCCCACTGAATGGGGATCTTTCATCCTCAGGAGCAACTGTTTGTGGGGCATTTTGG